AATAAGCGTACCAGCACAGTTGAGCAATCTTGGCGTTCCGGCGAGCCAACAAAGCATGTCCTTTGAGCTCAGCGTACGTGCCATGACTCAATTCTGATGGGAACTGCGCTCTGGGAAAAGAGAAAAAAAAAAGCCCTGATAGTAATTATTGGAATAATTGCAACAATTATCATATCACAAGGCACAGCAATTTTTTTTCCCAAGTTACCATAACCTGATAAATAGCTGAACAATTTCCCCCTTTTCTGCGGTGAAATGGCTTGCCAGCCATTAGCACTTCAGTGTAGCGCCAATGATTGACTTGCCGTCTGCTTAGCAGTGACCCACGATTTTTTGTGTGTGTTAAGAGGAAAGGGTCAGCAGACTAGTGAGGGGAAAGAGGGCGGGGCAGCAGAGGGGGATTGATTGGGGTCTCCGTTGTTGCCAAACGGCGTGTGAGGGTGTATTGGCGTGTAGACAATGGGGCCCGGCGAACACTGAAAGGCCTTCTCTGTGGATCCCTGTTAGCTGTCTATTATCCGCGGTCTCCGGGGGGCTGCTAAATAGAGGGCATGTGTTAGGCAGACATTTATCATGTAATTACAGCACTAGGATCCGTTTCTGATGGTGTGTGATGATTACTAATAATTACTGTGCATTTCACGCCTCCAAAGGACCCAGATGGGGTCCCAGGACATCAATACAAAGAAAGGGGGGGAGTGGCCGAAACCAAAATGGGATAAGGGAGAAAAATGTGAAGACATGGAAGGACTGCTGAAGAGGAAAAGGTGGGGTGCCTCGCCATCAACCAATTTAGGGGTGCTCATTAGGTAAATGAATTGAACCATACGTGTCCAAATACTAATTTAGTCATGGAGTCAAGGATAGGAAGGGGGTTCTTTTTTTTTTTTTCTGTCAATTGCAATCTACATAATTCTTTCATTATATTGCAGGATTTATAATTCCCCCAAAATTGCTTTTCATCAAAGCATGAATATTTTTTTAAATATTTATATTTTAATGGGTCAATAAATAAACTACACAAAATAAATGTGTACTATATTTTTAATATTTTCCCAATGTTATATGGAAAGACATTAAAATGTATGCATATATTAAAATTCTGACAAATATATATACTGTATTTAGTGAGAAACTCATAATGTAATTAATTTTAATGAATTAATTGGTTGATATTTTCACTTTTTATAATATTTCTGTACAGTTTGCACTGACAATCAAATATCAGAAAGCTTGTGATAAAACAATTGTTCTTCATTTGTGGCTATATGACTGTATTTTACTGCCTCCTAGTGGCCAAGGCGGGCACGCCAGAAGGAGCAGCACAATTAATTGAGTTCAAGCATTAAATCATGATGCACAAATTGTTTAATTCTTGACATCCAGTCACACCGAAGGACAAGTTTTGTTCCATTAAGCTAGCATGGATGTTTTGGAATGTGCGAGGGAAATTATTTTTGTATTATTATTATTATTTTTATTATTATTATTATTTTTATTATCACCATTGCAATTATTATTTAAAAATATATTTTAAAATATTGTGCCAGCTGAATCTTTATTGGAAAAAAAAAGGTGATGACCAGCAGGTTGAATGTATCTACTTGCAAATGAATTCGTGTGCTTGAAATAAAAAGGATCAATGCTGTATTCCTGCCCTCTGCTGGACTTGAGGAAAATCCATCTGTCTCAGAAAAGAAAGCACAAGGTGCTATAGAGTAGCAGTACACGCTTTGCGTCTTAACAGGTGCGGCCAGATTTCATTGAATTTTGCTTTAAAAATGCTGCTCTTATCCAATTTTGACTTGTCAATATAGCTCAATGGGCCTGATAAATGACTCATCTTAGCATGCCTTTGGTCAGGACGAGCAGACGAGCTGAAGCTGAAACTACTGAGTGGCAGCACAAAGGACCTCTGGAGCAATACGGGCTCAGAGTTGGGGCGTCAGTCGGGGGAAGATGAGGATGCTCCTGTTTAATAGAAACAAATTGCTCTCCACTTCCCGGTGACACAGATAGCGGCCCATTTGTGCCCGCTGGCCTTTGTGGGGAACAACAGAAAGGAAATGTACTCATCCTGGCCGGGGATAAAGTTCGGGGCTTTTTGTTACACCGTCAGTTACCTTAGCCTCGGTACCCACCCCCCTTGAACAAGCACAGCGGTTAAGTAGTTCAGGTGCCTGCTACATTCTGTTAGATTAAAGGTCCCTGCTGCTGGCCCGAGTTGAATTGCCTCAGCTGGAGACGGCGGAGGGAGGCGGTGGACGGAGCGGCACAGTTGTAGGGCCATGTGGCATGAATGGACACCTTGTGTGTGTTCACAGAGGCAAAACGCTTCGGGAGAGAGTGGGTGACAAGGGAGGGGGGCACTATAGGTGAGGGGAAATGAGAGGGAAATGTGAGGGAGGGGTGGCCTCGCCCCTACTTACCCTCAATCTATCTCTTCAACCGCTTTTCCACCTGCAAAGTGGAAAGCAGAACGCTTGTGTTCAAAAAGGACTCGGGTGGGCAGGTGGATCGTGGGCAGGATCTCGAAAGACCTGGAAATACAAACACGCTTTGCCCCTATGGAACATGGACCTCAAGAGGGAGGACACAAAGCACACATGGAGGGATGGGAACTTCCAGAGCAGCAGTCGGTGCAGGGTCTCCGGGAGAATGAGTGAAGTGGAAAACAAAAAGTCATTGTCAGCTGACACATGATGCAGGCCAAGGCCGAATGACTTTGAAAAATCATCTAATTGTGTTTTTTCACTCAATATTGCGATTTAATATGCAGTCTTTTTTTTTTAACAAACAAGCAATACCATTTCATAATAAACACTATCAGATGCATTCGACATCAATGTTTTGGTCTTATCGGTTAGGCCAATGTAAAAATATAGACAAATGAACTTTTTTTTTTTTTTTTTTAATGGGAATGGGGGGAGAAAAGTCTTGGAAAACTGTGGTTTGATCATTAAGCCGCTGGGAAAGTAAACAAAGAAGAAAAAAAAACAGTAACTATGTGCAGCAGATGGCAGTATAAACACATGTATGGCATGCATGCATGCACACACACTACTAAATACAACTACAACTAAATAGCGCCAAATAGTTTCTAAAGTTTGTCAAATATAAAACTGTCACGGTGATTGAATTGATTGGTGAATCATTGTGAATTCATTATTTTGCCATCAAAAGCTCAGTTTAATTGTTGGTGTTGGTATTTTACAGAAGAAAACGACTGTTTAGATGCTTGAGACGTCACGAAAGCCAAAATTACCAGCAACAAAGTTACTGCTGTGTGTAAACTATATCTTTTCACAAAAGTCAATATTTACTCTCATTAAGACTTCATTATTGCATCATCACAGTTCAGTGAAAAAACTTTGGCGCATTCCGAATCAGGTGAAAATTTGGGTTGTCACTATAGTGCTTGAAATCCGTCGTAAATCCTGCGCACCTTGTATTCGTAGTCCTGTCACCGGTTAGTGATTCAGTCAGATCTCCGTTTGAAAGCGGTCAAGCGGAGCTGCGCAACACAGTCTGAACATGTCTCGACCTCCGCAAAGTCCAGGGTAGGAGGTCAAGTACAAGAGTCAAAGGTGACGTCTGGCCCACAGGGTTGGATTCCAGGGAAGGAGGAAGCACCCTCTCAATAGTCCCGCTTTGAAAAAAGATTGTGCATCGGGGTGAGGTGACCCTTAGCCAACTCCAAAAACAGTCGTCCTAGTTTATTTTCCGTCCTTTCATGTCCAAGCACACGACATTAGTGACAAGAGCGGGTGGCGGTATGGCAAGGTGTCTTACTGTTTGCAAAAAATAAAAATAAAAACATATAGCATCCTCTATGAGACACAAGGTGAAAGTTCGGTAATCCGCATCTTAATCTTGTGCCGCGCTCAGCGCGGCTTAAAGAAAGCGATACTCCTGTGACTACTTTAGTGGATGATTGTGTTACCTTTACAATTCGGCTTCTCCTCCTTCCTGTTTTGTACTCGCTGGAATGCCTGATAAAAGTATCCCCCGCTGCGGCCTTCCACCTGCAGAGGCGACGGAAAGGCCTGCGGTCCCCGGGTCACAAGTGCAATGTCGTCCAAATGAGAATCTGAACAAGCAAAAAGTAGAAAAAGAAATTCAGGTTGAAGATCGTAGCCGCGAACGACTTCAATGCAAAACCTTTGAACCGGTGAGTTGTACGCCGTGATGTCAAGGTTGTTGACGTTTCATGCGACGTTTCCACAATAGCGGGCATTCATTTGCAAAGGCTGAGGCTGCGGTTGTCAGCGCGCCGCTACATATTTCTTTTCTTCCTTTAAATTGTGCTTGGGTCTGTGCAGGAGGGGAGGCAATTTATCTGTCATGGCCTCCAAGGGAGGCAACCCCCCCCACCCCCTTTTAGTGTATTATACTGACAGCAGCATTATTAGCCACAAGGGAAAGCGGCCGCCGCATGAATTTGGCCACTGTTCACCTCCGGGGCTTAGCCAAACCTCTTTTTACAATAGCGCCGATGGTACTGAGATTTTCCTTTCAGTTATGAATTTGATAAATATATTCATTATGACCCGGGGATGACAGTCCAATCAGATTGTCAGGCGCCCTGTCACGGGCCTCCAACCCTCACTTTGGTGCGGGCTTCTCAGGTTTCCATAGCTGTCATCCAGAGGGCTTTGACTTTCTTATCAACGCTGGGCCCGTTCCCGGGATAATTTCCTGTGTGTCATAATTAAATGGTGGCCCTCTGATGGTGAGTGGCTCCCATTTAAAAGCTGGAATCTCTTGACATCTGTCTGTGTGGAGATACGTTAGGCGAGGGCTCTTTTATGACGGCTTTAAATGAGAAGGTTGCGATGGCGTTCTTGGGCGACGGTTGCGTGCATATAATTTCATCAATTCGTCCATTTTCTACTGCTTATTGTTTTTCCGCCCATTCCCAGCCGGCTTTGGACTGGTCAACAGTCAGGCAAAGGTTTACTTATTGGACAAATATTCATTGAACCAATATGTTTTGGTGGATTTATTTTGAGCCACCTCTACTTCAAGCGTCCCATTTTAAAAGTAAAATCAAATTCACAAACTCAATCGTTTTGCTGGTAAAAGTAAATAAATAAATAAACACTTTTTTTAAAAAGACTTTTTGTATATAAGAAGCGCCGGGAACTTTTCAGCGCCATACAAGGGGCCTGGACGGATCCAAAAAAAGGCCAACAAAAACAATTCTTTCAGGGACTCAAATTTCTGCCAATTGAATTCTTGAGGTGCTGCTGCTTCTTTTTTAAATAAAAAAAAATATATATATACTGATAAAACACTGTACGCCTGTCGGATCATCCTCCATTTTCTGGCCCCAAGAATGAAAACTATTCAATTGTCTTTGTTGCGCCGCTTGGACTATTTGAGTGTATTTCTGCTTTCCTGGATGTCACCTTGAGGAATGCTTGTTTTGTTTGATTGTTTGCATCGGATGGGCTGTAATGGTCAGCACGCTGGCGCACATTTGAAGCAAGCCCAAGCAGTGAAAATTTTGCGGAGTTGGATGAAGAGCGCTGACAGCAGCTTCTATCTGCCAATCTCCCTCTGGATATTGTTGCGGCACTGGCGGACGGATAGCCGGGGTTTGCCGGCTGACGGACGCCCTCTGTCAGCAGCTTATCATTTCCAATTAAAGCCTTTCATCTCAACGTACAGTCAAGTCCTTCCTTGGCAAGCTCCCCCAAAAATGACCTGAACAACCTGTTATTAGTCGTTTTCAACAAGTCCCCATCTTTTCAACCTCTGCCCTGCAATGGGAGGGTCTTGGACAATCAAGTCTTCGGGTTCTTCTTCAACTACCTTGAGCCAAATAAGTCGGAGCGTCAGTCATCGACGGTGGTCACGTTGTGTTTTTGAGATAAACTATCAAAATTGCTTTGCTGTCCAGTAGCGCACGTGTTCCCGCACAAGGGTCTTTTTGTCCGGGGCTCTGTTCTGTCCGGGCATGCGCTGAATGCTATTGCTCCTCTCACTGATGGTCTCTTATGCATAAGACACAAAGGAATGCGCGCGGAGCCAAGCGGCCTCACGTCGTCTTATTTCCTCTAATAAGGTGGCCCCCCTGAGGCATCGGGATGGGCCAACAGATTAACCTCGGCATCATCACGTCAACACGGCGGAATGATGTGAGCAAGTGCAAGCGTGCCCGCATTTGGAATGGACAACAATGCATACAATATCTTTCCCCCATATGGATATGATCACAAAGTGGATCCTTGGGTGGATAGATAAACAGATGGAGACATAGACAGAGATGAAGAAATAGAGAGGGAGAGAGAGAGAGAGAGAGAGAGAGAGATCCCAATGAAACAAAACAGTTTTCAGTTGTTGCAAGACGGTTAGAAGCGTTGTTGCGTCCTCTGCAGGTAGCAGCGCGAACGACAAGCAGGCTTGCACCGTTCTGGCCTTGCTGGAGTCTTCATCTAGTTTTACAAAGAAGGTTTTAAATGCAATCCGATTCACAATTGCGAAATGTAGCCACCCCAATTTCCTGCTCCAAGGCTGCGCAAGCCAATTTCAGATTGATTGCCTTTCCATCTGTTAAATCTGATTAGAATCGGGGGACATAATACTTTTATTTGTTCTTGGGGTGATGGGAGTGCAGCTGGGCGTTTTTTTTTTTTTTTTATAAGATACAGAGGGTGCACATTGAAAATGCACAGGGTGTTACTGGACCACCTGTATGAGCGGTAAAGGAACACCTTCAGAAACACGAGGATAATCCTGCGTCTTTGAATGCTATGGCAGATTACAGATGAGGGAAAGAGGGCATTTGATTAACGGGGGAAAGAAGTCAATTGGCCATGGAGCGTGAAGTGGCGCACAAGGCTCCTTTTATATCAACGTGCCGCCCGCTCTGGCGGGGGATAGCTCAGTAAAGGACTTTGCATAAACACAAACTCATGAAGGATTTGAAGACTGTTGCAAATTGTGATGTTCGAACAGATCTCGAGGTCGGGGATTTGATGCCGCCATGCTTCACTTCACTTGCCTGGGAAAATGCTGAAGCCTTTTCTCTTGCCGCGATCTGTTTCATGTTTCCGTGATAAAGGTCACTTGGACCAGGTGTTTGCCCTCCACTTGACTCCTTTCCAACGAATTGCAGCTAAAGCAGATTTTGCGCTGACCCGGTCTGACTCTGTGTGGTCAATGCGTGAACAAATCAGCCAAAACAGCTTAAAAGGGACTACGGTGGCTTTAAACACTTATTGTGTAGACTTCGAAGTCAAGCGTGTTTATCGTTACATCTTGAGGTGAAATGATGTCAAGGTTTCGGTTGGGGTCATCGATTTACGACACCGTTGACTGTGCAGAACATTTACAGATGAGTTGATTCTTTTCTTAGAGGGCAAATAAAACATGAGTTCAATTTTCTAAGAGCAAATTAGTTGCGCCCCGCCCCGTTTTGTTTCAAGGAAAATTGACAACGAATCGCGATGATTGCCCGCCCTGAATACAGAAGGCAACTTTCCTCATGCGGCAGAGCAATTATCCGGACATTCCGATGTCAAAATGAAATTTCCACTTTTCACATAATTCCATGTTTCACACAATTAAAAAAAGATGAAAATGAATGGAGAAATGTAACAAATAAAATATTTCTCAAGCGCTGTAAAACATGCTAACCTCGAAATGGACAAAAATCCGCATGACCAGTGGGAAAATATCCTCAATTTTCCAAAAGAATGGAGAATTCATCTTTTTCTTTTGTGAATGTCTTGCTTTCAACCTTTCGAGTGCATTCTACAACATTTTACTTCAGCGTTCCTTTGTTCATGTTGCCATAGCAACTCTTAACAGCTTTTCCATTTCATCAAAGGTTGCCTCGCTTGTTTCGGAAGGTGCTTGGGGTGCTAAGCAGATTACCTGCGAATCCAAATAAACACACCGACTTTGGTGTTTGTTTGGGACACTTGACCTCGGCCCTCGGAAGTGATACAAGTGAACCGGGCGGCCATTGGGGCTGCGTTTGGCACTTTTTTGACTTTGACAACTTCACTTCTCGTGGAATCCCATTCACTTGGTTACTGCTTAGCTCAACATTAAAATATGACTCTCGTGCTCACGTGTGGAGACATGCTAACGGTGTATTGATAAACCTTTTGTGTATTTTAATGACTCGAGACGGCACAGAATTCACAAAGGGTCGCTAATCCCCAGTCCGTAGCCGGAGGCCGCACAAAGCAGCGAAAGCTCCCCTGACGTTCCTGCTATCACCTGCCTATTTTATGCCACGGCCGTCCCTTTGGCGCTTTCTTTCCATCCGCTAATCCTCTTTAAGGACATTACCCGCTAATATGTCCATTCAGAAGGTATAAAGGGCCCCGGCTATCTTTTTACCGCCATTGGCAGCACGCTAAAGCATCCCATTAAAGGGGGAAGGCAAACGAGGGGGTTCTATCGTGGTTTTGACCCCAAATGCCGTGCGGATGAAAGGCTGAGAGAGAGGCGGAGGCCTTTCGGAAAGGAGCGCTGATAGACGGCTGGCCTTGAATTCAACAACGAATCGAACGGTTCATGTCATTTATGGGGGGCCGAGACGGTCCTCTGCCTTGCGCCAGAGACACAAAGACAATCGGAGAGTAATTCAACATTTTATCAACATTCATTAATTTCAAGCGGTGTTATTTTACTGCACGACAAATGTAGAAGAAGATAAAATGACACAGTGAACTATGAGGAAATGGACCGATTGGGAGCAATAAGTACGCCTTTTCATGTAAACATAATCATTTTTGAAGTTACGATCCTACCGATAGCATTAGCATCATTGTTAAATGTAAATGGGACAGGATTGGTTGCTGCTTTCAATCAGTGGCTGCCGGCTAGTTATTAGCGATTCACCTGCTAATGTGTACATGGGCAGGCTGTGCAAACTCTGCTCGCAAATAGTTGAATTTTTTTTTTTCGTAACGGATTCTAGGTTCCATTTGTGAAAAGGGGAATTTATGAATGCCGAACGGCAAATGAGATGGAGCCCACTGCATACATTGGTGGCATAATTAAAAAGGAAAACAACATGACAAGATTAAATACAGGGTGCAATTATGAAAATAAAAGTTGATTTTCTCTGACGCACTTCAGGTGGTGATATTAAGAAAATAAGTTATTCACGTCACAAGAAAAAGGTTTCTTTTCACGAGGATAGAACAAGACGTCATTTTACGATCAAAGAAAATGTTAGGAGAAAAGTAATTTTAGGCAAATGAAGTTGGCATATTGAAAGAAAACAGATTGTATTTGTGTGAGGGAGAGTATAACTGTCAAAATGACTCCTGACTTTCCCTAATGAGGCAAAAAAAAAAAAAAAAAAAAAAAGACGAAAGCAAATTTAACCTTAAGGGGCTACTACTGCCTCACCAACAAAGTTGACTTGTTGTGGCCTGGAGGCAGGGCAGATGTTCTTTTCACTGCTCATGGCTGTCCCGGGCACGACTTGAATGACACGCCAGCGCTAATGTGTGCTGACAGCTCCCACAGCACAACACTAGTGACCGCTTGAAACTGGACTTGGCCACAGACAGACACACAGAGACAGAGACAGACACAGAGAGACAGAGACAGAGACAGAGACAGAGAGAGACAGAGACAGAGACAGAGAGAGACAGAGACAGAGACAGAGAGAGACAGAGACAGAGACAGAGAGAGACAGAGACAGAGACAGAGAGAGACAGAGACAGAGACAGAGACAGAGACAGAGACACAGAGAGAGAGAGAGAGAGTGGTGCAATACAGTACCCAAGACCGCCTGCACGTTTGTACCAATGCTGCCCGCTAGAGGGAGACACCTGATCAAAAGTCTTCAGCTGCTGACTTCAAGCTTCACGCTCACGTCTTTCCAGGACTCCATTTGTGGTCAAGTCAAAGCAGATGTTTGCAAATGTCATATTTTGAAGCTAATACGCCGCTCTTTCATGGAGGTGATTTGTGATAATCATTTTAAATTGAACAAAGTAAATGCTTCGCCTGGATCAATCAAAGTGAAATTGAAAAGACAAAAATAAATGCAAAAAAAAAAAAAAAAATCTAGTCAAATATCGATATGGTTTAACCATTCTTTAAAAGACAATATCGTAGATGCTAATGTTTCCTTCTAAATGTCATTAATGCTGTTATTCCTGTTTCACAAAAGCAGAGGCAAATTTCCTTTAGTTTTCTTACCGTCTGATTGTGAAGCGAACCGTGTACAACTGGAAAAAGAGCCTGTTTGAACGCGGGGGGAATCATAAGCAGTTTTCCAAATGCCAATCAGGGTGAGCACAAAACCTTGAGGCTGCAGGTGGAGAGAGAAAAAGAGATTTCACGAAAATTACTTGAACAGCTGAATTTCATTGGGGGTGAATCTGAGGCTTCAAAGGGTGGCCGGCGTGTGCTGACTCCCATTTGATACCAGTTTGAATTTTCTAATTTACTCCAATTGAGTCAGTCCGACGCGTTACGGGTCACAAACATGTCAAATGAACAGTGGTGTGTCGACTTTTTCCATCCGCTTTTTACGTTGTCCTATTTTTCCAAATATTTTTTGTCAGACTTTTGGCCGTCAGACTTCGGAGATTCCACTCCAAAACCAGCAGATTAGACTTGCGCTTGCATTTGGCTTGTTCCTTGGCCAATAAAAAAATGTCATTGAATTACATAAATCCACTCTCGGCTGCCGTTTGACCTTCACCGGCTGCGCAGTTACAACATCCCCTCCAGAGAATCAAATGCAGAAACACGACCGGCATGTTCACGAGTGTAGTTGTGTGTGTCACCACGCCGGCCAACATGTGAACTTATGAATCATGACATGGACAAGCACGCAGACCATGTAATGTACATATGTATGTACATGTAAAGTTTCGCCTACAGACGGGAGACGACCGCGCAAGGTACAAATAATAATAAGAGAGGACAGCCAGTTGGGTCTGCGGCCAGGCGTGTTTTCATCGAGCCACGGGCGTGAGTCATCCATGGCCGCTCGCTCTCGACTAATGCGTTTGTTTTGGTCCCACACACGAGGACATTTCGCTGACTAACTTGCTCCTCTTTCCTTGATGAGAATTTGCATTTAGGGGCTTTTTAGAAACACTCATCGTAATAAAGATGATGAAGCACAGACGAACACTTGTGGGATTTTCCAACACATTAATAAATACATCTTCATGATTATAAAATAAATCAAATGGAAATTGTTCCCATCTTTAAAAGTCATCTTAACTCTTTTATTCCCCTGTGACGTATAAATACACCAAGAAAAGCCACTACGACCGCCTATCCATGACATATTTATACGTCATTTCCCTTTTTTTTCGTGTCATAGAGCGCAGAAGGGTCTGACGAACTTTGTCTTTGTGTTTTGACTCGCAATATTTTAGTGTTTGTCTTTATGTTAAAATTGTTCAAAATATTTTAACGGTTTTGTTTTTACATGCCAGTTTTTACTTTATGTCCAGTACAGCACTTTGTATGCAGCTATGGTTGTTTTAAAGTGCTCAGTAAATAAAGTTGAGTTGAGGATATGACACAATTATGGGACAATATGGACAAAATGGACAAAAGCGACTTTAGGGGACATGAAGAGAAAAAAATGTAGTGTCATAGGAAATGACATAAAAGAGCAGTATGAGACAAATAGGACATAATGAGATACAATTTTGGACAGAATGTGACATAGTATCAGACATTATGGGACAGTATAGCACAAAATGGACATAAGTAACAATAAGGGACAACATGGGGCATGATGGAACAAAATAGAGCATCATGGGACATAACTGTGGATATTAAAGTATATTGTGGCACAAATGGGACTCTGTCGGACAAAATGAGAAATAATGGGAAATAATAGCGGACATTTTGGGATATTATCTGTCAAATACAACCCAATGGGAGATGACATAACAGGATAAGATACCAGAGGGAACAATAATGACAAGAAAATATATACTGTAATAGGCAATGGCAATTTAACGAAACAATAACTTGAACAATTTAACACTTTCAGAATTTTCCAGCCCAGTAATTACATGCATCTTAAAATACACTTTCATGGAGATTAACACTAAATTACAGTACTTCGATAAACTACAGTCTTGTTAATTGCTTTAACAGACCAGATTAGAATAACAGTTCAAATAAAATTAGATTATATGCGAGGAAAACAGAATAGAAGCCATTTGTTCTGGCAAGAATGGTTGCATGGTTACAACGTCGTGCATTTCACCCCACAACTAACATGACGATACAGACATTAGGTAGCTCAGTTAATTGAACAGTTTCCACACGTTTAAATGAGACTCGAAAACGTTAGAAGTGAACTATTTCTCACCAGTGTGACGTTAGTTTGGCGTATAGGGACAAAAAAAAAAAACGTTTTCGCTCCGTTCAACTCAATGCTAATGCTAGCAACGGACCACCTGTTGTTCGGGGAGCTAAACAGCAGACTGGCATGGATACTTGTGACGTCATATCATGGAAACAATTGCTTCTTAAAAAAATTGTTTCACCCACCACCACCACACCTCCCAGAACAAAGTTCAGCGAGTGACCGTTGATTTCCGTATTTATTTATTATGGTGAGTTACGTGACATATATAGTGTACATAACATACATACATAGTTAAAGACGTCAAGTTGCAGCCAGAATAATGTAAATACAGCACAAAGCAAAATATGGGCATGACAAAACGCTCAAGTTTCGCGAGTGACTCAACGGACCAACCTACAGATATGTGACGTTTTAAATCATTTTTGGATTGGTCGAGTACTTTGCAGTGGGAACAAATGAAATCAACAACTGGTGCGTCTCCAAAAGATTGCCCCCACACAACAAACGCTGTAACAAATCGTCCATCCATTAATCCATTTTCTGATCCGCTTTTCCTCACCAGGGTCGCGGGGGGTGCTGGAGCCAATCCCAGCTGTCCTCGGGCAGAAGGCGGAGGACACCCTGAACCGGTTGCCAGCCAATCGCAGAGCACATGCAGACAAACAACCATCAGCGCTCACACTCCCAATCCCAACTAGGGACAATTTAGAGTGTTCAATCAGCCTGCCATGCATGTTTTTGGAACGTGGGAGGAAACCAGAGTACCCGGAGAAAACCCACGCAGGCACGGGGAGAACACGCAAACTCCACACAGGAAGACCGGAGCCGGGACCGAAACCACGACCTCTGCACCATGAGGCCAACACGCTAACCAGTGGACCACGGGGCCGCCGTAACAAATTGTGTTTGGAAGAAAATAAATGTGCGTTGGTAAGTGCGACTCATTGGTGATTTGTGAATTGTTGGGTTTTACTACGAGTACCTGCTGTCATGTTTCACCAAGAGTCCCCTCATAAATAAAGTAGCACTTCATCACCATGTCTGTTCCTTCACTGTGTAAAGGTCAGAGATTTTTTTTTTAAGTCTCTGTGGAATTCATTAAAATATGAAAATATGTTCCATTCCCAATTTGTCAAAGGGGATAATGTATCGCTGTCGAGACAGCTGAAGTATGTGACAATGCCGTTAAAATGAATGGACTGATTACTTTTATCCTTGCAAGTGGACAGTGTGAAATTTCCTTCAATTAAAAAAATACAGCTTTTAATTTCACTCCTGAAACTAATCAGAGCCAAAAATGGAACACTAGATTCACATTCATTTGTGACAGTGTTAAATGAGACTAATCGGTCCTCACTGAAGGATTCTGATTAAACAAGAAGATGCTATTTGGCTAACATAATGGCCATGTTCGGGCAGGCCTCACATCATGGACACTCGGTAGTCTGTAAAAATGAACGACATAGATGTTCAATTATCAGTCCTTTGCTTTAGATGACAACATCGTTTTTTGGTCGGTCTGCCCAGCTTTAACAATAAATGGATGGTGTGATTTTGACCATTTGTTTCCATAAAAACAAAAAACATGCACATGAAATGGCAGAGCAACAAAATAAGCCTCAAAATGTATAAAACAATCACTTCAAATAATCACAAAATCTGCAAATTAGTGATGTATTCCCTAAAATGTTTTTTTTCTTTTTTTCATGTAGATGGTGGCATATCACTTAAAATGCAAAAAAAATCACAAAGGGTCAATGCCACACATCCAGCATGCACACAATCATGAACCCATGTTACATTGATAAAATCTATTTAGATGTTAAATTATTCAACACAACCAAATGTTCACATGAGGCTCATCCATTGTATTAGCTATGACATCACACATAGGCAAACAAATGTGCAGAGCGGTACTTTACACAAATAATATTAAGTCATTAACTCACCTTTTGGCATTTACATTAAAAAAAAAAATGTTAAGGAAATAAATGTTAAGGAATACAGGCACATAAATACAAAACCAAGATTCCACCAGATAGCCCCAAATCAATGATTTTATTTTTTTAGCCTGAGCGCAAAAACAGCAAACGGACAAGATTTACAGTGAATAATCAGTGACACGTTCCCAAAAATCAGAATCAGCTTTATTGACCAATCATGTTGAAACACACAAGGTGGAAGAGGTGGTGACCAGGATTATGCGACTTTGCAAATAAGCAAGGTTCACAAAATGTTGTGATGCCTTTACCACCCATTGTTCTCAATTCATCCTTTCATACATCCCTCAGCAAAAACAATCGCAATTTCTACTTTGGATGCTGTTGGCCAGCTTTCATCTGGAGGCGAGAAAAAAAAAAACACGTGAGCATCTCACAGCGGGTGCAATGTGATTCCCAATGATACAAACTGTACAGTAGGGAGAGATCTCAGCGAAGTTGGTCGCCATGGTCACATGTGCTCGGGTGTTGCTGGCAAACACCCACACAACCCATCACAATGGCTTTACGTCTCGCGCCCGTGAAAATGTACCATGCCCCCACCCCTCAAAGTACGATACGAGAACTGCACTGCCAATGCCAAAGGCTGCGCCACCAACGCAGTCGATGCAGACGTCTGTGATGAATTCAAAGTGACACAGACGGCATATTACAGACCACACTAATGGGGTCGGTCACACTGAGATGAAACTGTGCTTTGAGCTCAAGCGGAGAGGCATTTTAACCTTTTATGGTGCTAGGAACCATATTTGGCCACCCTCACGCAGGGCTGGGGAACCGTTTTCCCTCAGTCCTGTGAGGGCCAGTTTAATTTGATGAAGAACTGGGATGCAACTAGATTTTTTTGGTGTGTGTGCTATTTATAGCATTTTTTCTGAAGTTTTGTTTTGGAAGGGCCGCGTCAAACCAATACCACCCAATATGCCACACCTTTGTTTT